ACACACACACACACATGTATATATTATCTGAAAAAGTGGTATTAAGATTATAGAAATTTTTTTTCAAGTTTCGCGTGCATTGTAAGTACTAAAAAATTAATTAATCCACCCTCTAGTGGCTAGTAATTTCACTTTTCGGAAATTTCAACGTTGAAAATCCTATGTTCTTTTAATTAGAACGGAAATTGGACAATTTGCAATTAAACAACAAGCTTTAATCATTAATCATGAATTATTATCAGTTCAAATAAATACAAGAAATTCTCCTTTCCTCCTAGAGTGATTCATAATTGGCATATCTTCTTGTTATAACAATGATTGATCAACAGGTGATAATTTTAACGAAATAATCGAAAAGTTAGAGATGATCAGGTCTTATAAATTTAATCCTTTCAACAGTGAAAAACAGAATAAAAAAAGCTTTCACAATTGCAGCTGATATATCACAACTATTTTTATCTCAGCAATGTTTCACAATGAAGAGGACAAAATATATCTTGCGAGTGAATAAATGGATTATTGAATGTATCTTGCTCGACAAACACTGCGTCAGTTGTGCCTGAAAATACAGCGATAATAATATCGCGATTGTGTATAGTTGCAGTAACCTAAGGGCAGTATTACCAAGATACATTAGCGCGTGTACATATGTACATGTACATACGTGTATACAAGCACGTAATCATAGGGTACATAATCTATTAACCCTTTGCGGTCCGTAATAATTTTCAAAATTCTGCGTTGTTGTGCGGAAATTTACGAAAAAAACTAGGAGGAGATAAAATTTCTTGGAAACAACAGGAAGAGGTAAATACTCTCGATGTGTGTGTATTAAATTCGTCCAAAATAACGATTGAAAATTTCATTACTTTCTTTCACATCGATTTATGAATCGATTATTTAGCGTAATTGATTCCACATGTCCAGGACAGTTACTGGCTGATATTGTCAGAAATAGAGGTAACTGTGTTTTGTTACCAACACGGTTCAGGAAATAAATGTAACCGTGATGGTGAAATATCTTACAGCCGGTCAGGAATTCATCAGACCGAGGCACATCGATCGTTTACACGTAATTTGTACCACTAGCTTTCCCGCTTTTTCTCTTTCGAATCGGCACGTTTGTTATCTTTTCCGGTTTACTTGATTTGAAAGCAGCAAAAATTTAACAACTACCATTTCGTTCTGTCATTCCTCGGTTATAAATGTTTTACTTAATGTTTCAAATTAATGATTCCTTAATTTTCAATGTATTATACATTTATAATGATTTATTGGTAATTATTCGATTATTTTGATAACATTGAATTTGATAATTTATTAAAATCAATCATCATTTAATATATCTCGTTTTAACAGTATAATGTAATAAAGCATCCGATAGAATTTTTTAATTAAATTAATTAAAATTGTGACAAACGTTGAGCTCGACGTCGTCAAGAATCAAGCTAAATTTTGAAAACAGGCCCCATTGATTTTCATAGTTGCTCATTGTTCGTTACGTTAATGGGCAGATTTCACTTTGTGGAATGAATATCCTAATGGGAAGTTCCAATTACAATTTGAAATTACAGATTTCATTCGCGTATATTTTCAAGTTTTCGCTGGCATTTGAAATGAATTTCAAACGCGGGAAATTTCGACAAAACATCGAACCTTAATATAGAATTTGTATTTTATCAAAGATATTTAACGTAAAAATGTAAAAATTCAACGTCTCAATCGATTGTAGCAGATTTAATTTCACTTTATTTGTCAATCAAAAGAAGATTCTTATTTGAATAATTTAATACTTGACACTCGTTTATAATTAGGCGATTAAAACTCGTAATACATGTTATACAATTTTCAACGTACGTTCTACTGATTCTAGTAAAATATAAATTAATGAGTTATCGATGAAAGTTACTGACGAGGGAGTCGTTTATGATTATCTTAACAATGATTTAATTGATTAATAATTACGACCACGTTCAGTAAAAACGATCAATCATTCTGTTTACAGATTTGAACGATTTTTCGTATAATATATATTCCTTAATTATTCAAATAATATGTTAAAATATATTTATGATACATTACAAATATATTATTACATATAACAATTTTCCTTGCTAAATGTTGGACTGTTTTCACATAATGTAAACTACAAGCTCAAATGAAGAAAGTACAATTGTATGTTCAATTTGTGACAACATTTGCACCGGTCCATACAATTAGTAATCAAGGGAAACCTCAGAGAGCAAAAGAAACATACCAGCGATTATTTTCATGCATCTACGATTCGACAAGCTTCTTTCGTGAAATTTATGAAATTTATGAAACATGAAAGTCTACCGTTCGTTCTTCGTTACATGGTAAACTTCTGCCTATTACTCGCACGTTCTTTTCTCTGGATATATATATGCATACTTTATACTTCATACTTCTTCAGTTCGTCGCGTCTGCAGTTGTTATGCATATAACCCGCTCGCAACGAGTATTCGTATGGGTAGCATGTGTCCTCGTAATAGCCTAAAGTCGAAACTTGTGTGGGTAGACGCAAGCGCAAGCTGCGATTCTCTCGTGCTCGCCGACGACTGGACTGCAGTTGCGTTCGCATTATCAGTCGTGTGATCTCGCTGTAGCTTGGCGGATACACGCGTGCCGCGCGCGTACGTACTCGCTCGCTTTCGCGTCCAGTTTTGCGAGAAAGAAATCCGCGCGATCTGCGACCTCGGGAAGGCACGAGAGGCCGTTCGTTGCCGTTCGAACGCTGAGGAAGCCTTATCGACGAGCCTGGATGCTTGACGCGTCACCAATTCCCATCGATTGCTCACATATTGCTGCGATATTATTATGGTAATTTGTTTGTTAACTCGTTTCGTTCACGTAGCTACGAGGCGAGAGGTCCGCGTCTCGCGATCTCCAGAGATTTGAGATTTATTTCCCATCGTGTTGTATCGTGGAACGCACGGCTCCACGCGTTTAGCGCCAGACGCTGCTGCGGATGCCTGTACGGAGTTTCGCGACTTTCACGAAACGCGATTCAGATAGCTAGAAACTAGAAACTAGAGTATAAAAGTTTCCGCCGAAGAAACTGGAATGATACGCGAACTTTTTATTCGTACACATTGACAGCATTCGAATTTCTAAAAATATGACACGGCAAACTTGCAAAATTACTCTAGACAAAATTATAAACTGGCCATTTCGACTAGTTTAGGCAGTTCCAGCGTTCGCCTGCCAGGCAAAATCTTAAATTTCCCAAAAAGTGTATAAACACCCGCGGTTTGCAGAAAGATGCGTGAAAATAAATTTCAAAAATAAGGTTCAAAAGAATAATGCAGTTCAATCGAGATTTAATACTACATTCTATACTATGTTAGACAACAAAATAACGCAAGTTCACAAAATTCGAGAAATACTCGTAGCTTTTCTTTGTGATTTATTTTTACTTTTCATTTCTATTAACCTGTTCGTGCTACAGACTTATTTCGCATGAAATTATATTCCGTATTTTTTTCTCTCTCTCTCTCTCTTTTTACGAGAAACAATGCACTAATAACATGTATGAAAAAAGAAAGCAGAACAATATTACATAAAGCTTGTATAATATAAAATAAAAATGGAAAGAAAATTCAAAAACAAGAACTGTTGAAAGAAATGTTCACTTATAAAAAGAAAGCAAGAGAATATTGCTGATAATAAATGTTCGTGACAAGAGCTTTAAACAATAAAATATTTCCTAACACACAGCGTTTTTCTTTTTCTACAATTATAGATACAGATAATATTTCAGTTTGTTCGTTGTTTCTCTCTTTTTCGAGGTCAGGAAGTATTGATTGTGTTCATACAGTTTTGAATGCACAGTAATTAATTATACGTATATTTTATCGATATAGAGATGAATCGTGTATACACGCCGATTGAATTAATTGTCAATCGATTAAAAGTGAAATTTGTCGGGGAATTTTCTTTTAAATTGACTGTTCGCGAATAATAAGTAGCGATTGGAGGTTGAAATTGGAGGTTGAATTTTACCATTTTTTTTTTCAAACAGATTGGCTTCTATTGAAAATTATTATAGAAATTGTGGCAGTTGATTAAAATTCTGTATATATAGTTATTTAGTTTGAAATGGAAGATCTTTTATTGCGTTTTTTTTTTATTTTTATTTTTATCAAAGGTGATTGAGAATATAGTTGCTCGTTTGAATAAATTCTGAAATGTAAATGTAGGAAACATAGATTGAAACAGCGAGGATACGCTATTTAGAGATAATAGTTCTTTGCTAATTTTCGTAAAATAGTGTTACACGTTTATTATGAAAAAACCTCATTGTATTTTTTTAAACCATGAAGACTTGTCGCGGAAAAGAAAAACTTTACGAGACGGAAACTTTGAAAAATAATAAAAATAAAATAGACGTGTACGCATAATTTCACATGAAAATGAATAAGTATAAAAATAGCTACCAAGACAGTTAATGAGACTAAAGACCTATATTTAAAGAAAAAACATTCTTTCTGCAATTTACATATTGCGTTAAAAAGTATTGATAAAACCATCAAACATGGCTTGGATTTATAGATTATCATAAATAATTTTTTTTTTATATTCTTATTCAAATTATTTTTTTCTCGTTTTTTTTTTCTTAATATTTTTAATACAACGCTATCAGTTGTTTAAAACTTTCTGTGCACCCTGCTTTCAAAGACCGATAAATATTGCCGGCGATTAATTCCAAACAAGGAAAAACGTTTTTTACGAAAATAGGTCGACAGTCGAACACTGCGCTTCAAAAATATTCATACATTCAAATATTTGCGATCATCTGTGCAAATGACTGGTTCGTAGAGCTGAAATACAGCGATTATAAGAGTATTAAAATTCAACGACTTCAGTGCATCTAAATGGACGACTCTCAGCGTAAAAATTATTTTTCAGTTGGGAAAGCTCGCTTGATTGAAGCTCGCGCGAGGAAAAAACAAATTTGATAAATTTCTTGTTAAATTGTCAGAAAATTAATTACGGTCGTATTGGCAACGTATTGGCAAAATTCAAAAGCCAAATCCAATTTGCGTAAAATGTAGTTGTGTTTTATCAAAACAAAGAGTACGAAAATTCTGTATAAATTTTTCAACAAAAAAAAAAAAAAATTGTCATTATTTTAAAATTCTGAAATTCTGAAATTGACGAAGTTTAACTCTCCTTATAAAAGTAATTGATGATAATTATAATTCCGTTGCTCTTCATTTTATAGTTGTATGGTCGAGTTGAACTTTTATTATTCGAGCTGCAATCAAGTGAAATGTATATGTTCTCATTAGTTTGAACGAAATTAATCGATCTCTTGTCAACGTATCAATGTCTCAATTTCATTGCTTAGATATTTAATCAATATTCGATTTTTCGAAAAGATAATCACAAGTTTATTCATAAGGGGCCAAGTTATCATCTGTCAAAAGAATTTATTCCATGATTATTACTTAATTACTGATATTAGCTACGCGAAACTTTGTCGAAAATACAAATTCACTCTCCTTTTGCAACACAATCTGAAAGATAAAGCCTTAATATCTGTCAGATTTCAATCATATTCTCCCATTGTTAATAATTTCAGTAATGAATTTCTTTTGTAATTTTAATATATTCCCCGTTTCCAATTTAAGAGAAAGAGGGATTTGAAATTTAATTTGCCCGGTCTATCGTTGAACATCTTCCTCAAACTTTTGTCCGAGGCAAATTTCAGATGCACGTTAGATGTAAATTATTTTCGAGCATGATCCAGCTACGCCGATGTCGTCGACTTTTTCCAACAAATTCTTCCTCGAAGCTTTCTTCGCGCGAACTGAGAAGCCGTACGAACTTCCGGTTGCAGGAAGCAAACGTGACGCGACCTCAATGTGGGTTAAAAACACCGGCGTCCCTTATCTACGATCCGATTTTTCGCGTAAAAAGCTGATCTTCCGGCATGGAATTTTCTACATGCACTGATAATTCCGAGAGAATCGGAAATGCAAAGACGTTCGCTCGTGAACGCCTATTGATTCTGGGTCACTGTATGTACGAGAAATAGGTGTATATATGCATATATATACGTATCTTGGCAAAGGTCACAAAGGCAAATGGGAACTGCGAAATTTTTAAAGAAAAAAGTCTCTCATCGTTATCTTCTTGTTCCAATATAGATAACCTACATGCAGTTTTGACTGCAGCAGGAGGAACACAATAATCGAGAGACTCAATTACTCAGTCTTGGAATTTTTAATCGAAAATTAAATTTAATTTCAATTTTTATTACCATCGTTGCAACTTCAAGTTTAATTTTTAATTATTTTTACATTTAGGTTTTGTAGCTATATTTGATTATCAATTAAATTGATAATCTCTGGAATTTGTTTAATTATTTAATTTTTTTTGTTGGGCTCTCAAATAAAATCAGATGCTCTGATGACTACAGTCATTTAATATGATCCCAATTATCAGTTAAAATTTAAGTGAATGCTGTCAGAATTAGAATTATTCGAATTTTAAGTAAAATGATATTCTACGAACTTTAACGAAATTTAACTTTCCTAGGCTTTGTAAAATATCGTACTGATGATGTTTGAGATTGTCGTGGAAACGAGAACATAGGTATGAAATTTCTCATTAATTTATTTCTACTAGTTG